TGCGTATAAATCGTGGTACGGCATTTATACGTATAAATCCGGGATTTATACGATGACGGGATTTATGCACGACATATTCATCACATTCTGGTATGATAAAGGGAACATTAAAGTTAACACGTCAAAAAGTTATGAATGAGCACCATTATTACTTTTCAAAACACGCTGGTCAATTTTACAGCCACATCATAATCAGCCTCTTATTATGTCACATAATCAAATGTTCACTTTGTCTGGTTTTGTTGCAGTCTGCCCCATATAAAACCATCCAATAAATGGTAAGTAAATTGATAACAATAACATTTATTTATATATGAAACAATAATAAAACAAAGTAAATACAATTAAATAGAATTTCGTCGATTTCTTTGTTTAACAATTTCAACTTTCAATTTCCTCTCCTATCCGAAGTATTGTTTAAAAATACTATTGTAATCAACGCTATCTTTGTTTTCGACAGGAATATGGTTAGGGTAAATTTCGCTAACCATTGTTTCATATCGATTGTAAATATCAATTAAATATTGTTTATCAATATTCATTTCACCTTGCCGTTTTCTTCCTTTTTGGCGTTCGACCATTGTATCCCTTGATGGTTTTAAATAAAAAACATAATCAAATAATTCACACGATTTAAAAATATTGTTATCGAAAAGGTTTTCCAAAACGGATAATTCTTCTTCATCATTGATATTGTTTGAAGCGAAAATTTTCGTATCAAGATGAGTCCGATCAAAAATGATGTAATCATATTTGTGTCTTTTATAATAAAGTTTTAGCATTTCATTATTGAATTTATGAATAATATGTAATTGGAATACAAAAGAATATTTTGGAATATTGGAATAGAATAATTCGAGAAATTTCTTATCCATTAAGGCAATTTCATTCGATAAATAAACTTTAAATCCTTTATCACGTAGATAATTAGCCAACATAACATTCCAAGTAGTTTTTCCAACTCCGATGGCACCGGTTGTGATGATAAATTTTGCTGACTTTTTATGATACGATTTATATTTGTTATTAAATGAAAAAGTAATTTGATCGAATTGGTAATTATCAAGATTTGTTGGAAGCTCCATTCTGATAAAGTACAGTATATATAATATGAGATTAAACCCGCTTCTTTATATAACAATAAAGTAGTACAAGTATTTATTTGTTGTTTATCGTATTTATATTCTGATACTTGATTATAATTAGATTGAAATAAAACTGTAATTTGTAGCTATTTCCTCATTTTCAATTTTTAGTAAATGTTGTTCTCAATGAATCGTAATGTTTCATATATTTTATCTTCAGATCTTCTTTTTCAGATTTGAAACGTTTAATGATGTAATTATTTGGAGATAAGACTAAGCCATAGTCACTGATTAGCTTCTTATATTGTTCACGAAGCTGTACGTATTGTTTTATGTCATCCGATTGTTCATTTAAGTTTAGGCATTTATTGTTTTCATAATCATGAGAATTTTGATACGTTTACGTTACGCATTTTCCTTATATAGTGATTGAACAATATGAATAAATGACACAAGAATATAAAAATGAAATAATGGTATAATAATAGAAAAGTTGGTGCTACGTGTTGATATTGAATTTGTCTGGTTCTTCCGAGTTGTTTTTGAAATTTCTTCTGTTCTCGAGTAATTGAACAATATTGATAGAGTTTTGTCGTCAAATTTTTAATTTATGAACACTTTTCAAAATTTGATTCCATCTCCAGACGTTTCATATTTAAAGAATTCTTATCATCAATGAAACGTAACATCACTACAATAATCACATTCTTGTTTATGAGAATTTCTTGTCTCCCCATAATACAGTGAGTAGTATGATGGGAAATTTTGTCTTCAAGATCCATCTAAAATTGTACATATTGTTTTACAGCATCTGATACTGATTGTAGATCTTTAAGTTTTTGGATTAGGCGTTTGTTGTTTCGAATAAGCCTGAGAATCTCATAATCATGAAATTTTTTGTTGTGACATTTTCGTTTTCGTTAATATTAACGACATAATAATAATAATAATAATATGAATGAGTATGATGAAATTTATTTACTAATAGATCCATATTACCAATATCGATTCTAATTACGTTATATCTTCAAACGTTCTTCAACAACATTAACTTCTTGCTTCGTTGGATCATGATTATGATCGGTTAATCTGTTATCAATTCAAGTTTCTGTGGCTTATACCGATTACGCAATCATGAGATCGATACAAGCTGTGTAACTTCTAATCGTTATCAATCTATCATCTACGTTTTTGGTTGAACAAAAAATAGAAACTCGGTATAAATCGAAAGCTATATTCGTGAGAATTAATTGACAAAATTGTACATAAAAAAGCCGAGTATATACCTTATTGTTTTAATTAATCCATTGTCTACTTTATAATAATAACTAAATGAATCTATCTAATTTCTTACTCTCTCTTTTTTGAAGGAGGGAGCTTTAATATTTACAGAAAATTTTTGAAAGCAATTATTAAATTAGTTATTTCTTTTAGATTTAACAATGAACACGGTAGCTGTTGGAACCGAGTTCGAGAGAAGGATATCTAAATACCATTTCGCTATTGTGGTGGCTCCCGGTTTCCCGAGGGGGGGACATCAGTCGTCAACTCCTGACCGCCGTTTTTTTTTTTTTTTTTTTTGGCCCAGGCTTGTTGAGTGGCTTGATAATTTTCAGCATGCTTTTTTTTTTTTGTTTCTGGACTTAATTCGTCGGCAAAGGAGCACGCCAAAAGGCAGATAGCTGTCCTTATCTATCGTATGAAAATACGATAGTTGAGGATATTAAAGAGTTAGTCATGTCTAGCTTGGCAGCCCTGGAAGAACAGATATGTTGCGAGGATGGAGAGAGAAATGGAGGGGCTAATACAAACGTGTGAAAGGAGGGAATTAAAATTGAAGAATGAAAATATGCGAGTGCAGATAGAGAATGAGGCGATTCGGATATCACTGACATGTTGGGCTTTACCAGTAGAACGGCAAACTGCAAGCCGATATCTCAAATGTTGTCAGGGAACAAGAGGCAGATGCCGTTGCTGATATGATGGAAAATTGAATCTTACGAAATTAGCAGAACGACAGAGAAAATTAGTAAATGAGCATTTAATGACGCTGATTATTGTATCGTTGACATTACAATTATGCAAAATGTTCACGTGCCCCATTCCGATCAACAGGTGAGGAAGATTTATTATCTCAGTCCGCGTAAAGCGCATTTATTTGGTATTCAAGATGAGGCAGTTCGCGAGCAAATTAATTACGTTCTCGATGGGGACGAAATAATATGAAAAGGTCCAAATGGCACACTGAGCATGGTATTTGATGGAATTAAGAGATTGAATAAAGGTGAAGATTACTTGTGATAATGCGGGAGAACATAATAAAAATAATGCCACCATTTGATTTTATCTATATTTAATAATTTGCGGCTATTATGAAAGTACCGAATTAAATTTTAAGATACCTGGACATACTAAATTCAAGTGTGATGGCAGTTTTGGATTGACTAAAAGACTATAGAAAAACAACAGTAGATTGTGTGGATCATATTGTTGAAGTCGTGAAAAAATCAAGTACAGCTGGATTAAATAAAGCTCAGCGTTATGACAATGGAAAAGGTTTTCAGTACTTAATCTTAATTCTGTGTTGGGGATTTCCTTTAAAAAATTAAATGGTTTGCAAAAATACCAGCATTTTCCATTTGAAGCAGCTAATCTTGGGACTGTCAGCTCAGATGGTTGTTAATGGTGCTCATACAGAATTTAATCTGTTAAAAATTAGAAAAGCAAGTGTTTCTAAAATTACCAAAGAAATTAAATCTTTATCTAATGCCTCCTCCTTTGGATTACAAAAGGCAAGAATATCTTTACCATAATATTCGCCCATTTGCTAGAGATAAATTTAAATATACTGTATTACTTGCCCACAGCCAATGGTTACAGGTAATTAATAGAATATTTAGAGTGAATTACCACTATGAATTACCGCTTGTTAAATTTTCCTGCTGTCATCAAGTTTCGTAAGTTTAACCTTTCAACAAATATTGCTGTTTTCCTGTTTCGTAAAGTTCAATAGTAAAATAACTGTATTAGTATACATATACCTCATAATTAATAATATATTTCAGTTTATTTACAATATAAAGTAATTGAACACACACACACTGCTGCTTATATATCTTTCGGAAAATACCAATGTTCTATTGTTAGCAACGTATGCTACTGACATGTCCATTATGATCATAATTGGTGTACGCGATGTTATGAAGCCGGAAAAAAAATCTACTTTAGAAAATCATTGGCATTTTTAGTAATGATTTCCCTTGAAAATCTTGTGCTCCACACGAAACAACCATTCTTATTCTTCCATTTTATCTTTTCAGTGTGAATGACCGAAATGAAGTCGCCTGAGACTTTATTCACAGAAACAACGCTTGATATCATAATACCAAATGGTGTCCTGCAGTTTACTGAAGAAGAAGCGGAGAAGATTCTAACCGCTAAACCTCGAACCTTGGCATTTTATGGTACACATGTTTGTGTGTCCTGATGTTCTCTTTTTCCATCCCAGTTCTAACCTTCAACCTACTTCTTACAAGAAAAGACGAACACATTGATTTCTACTTAATCCTTCGTCTCCCTTCCGACTCTGGTATCTCCGATGTAGCTGCAGCAAAGGCATTTTTCCACCAATTGGAAATAGTTGTTGAGGCGGGTTTAGTCGACTCCACTGTGGTTACTCAACCACAACCAGCTCCACTACCCGTGTATCGTCTTCCACCTGGACGATCACGATCGAACTCGGCAGCAACGTCACCCTCAAGGCCGAGCTCACCTTTGCCAGGGACGGCAGAAAAGAAGCAACCAAAGGTTGATGGGACGGTGATTTTTCAATCAGTGTACAATCCAAAAACCAAGGATAAAGATATGATAGTATTTATTAGAAATGATGCATGGTGTTGTATTGTGCCATTGTCTGTACCCGTTGGTAAGAGTTAGAGAAGGGATTGTATATTGGGTTACACTGGTGAATTATGATTTGCTAATTATTTAAATGACTCACGTAGCATACGTGAAAACACGCGCACAGATGCCAGCACTAGCCCTTGCCACTATAGTTTCTCAGAGAGTGCTGCCCGAAAAACCTACCAACTCAGATTACAAAGGAGAATACGACGACGATAACTTTAATATGATCAATTTGCTTGCTGGTCTGTCCGACGGTGCGTGTTATAGTCAGTGATTTGTGTTCCTTTGCAAAATCGGTTAAATATATTTCTCTTACAATGCTAACCACTGTGCAGATCCGTCACTGAGTGAGGCTTCAAAATATCTTCCACTGCCTGCTTCACGCATTTATGGAACAGTAGAATCAAGACGGCAGAGTATATATCCTAACACGCCGGGTCCAATGACTCCACAACCCTTGAGACGTAGTTTTAGGAAGATTTTACCGGTGAAGTCTGCCCTCAATGTGCGAATGCGGACTACCAGCGTGTCACCGTTGGACAATGTACTTATGATGTCTGTAGAATTAGAAAACAATACGGATGCAGGAACTGCTTTTGATGTGCAAGAAGTGAGAATTGAACTTTCGAGTGCAATTGTGGCACAATTTGATTGGGGGGGCAAGAAGGTAAAGTGTAGTGCATTGAATAAAGTTCTTAAAATTGGTGTTGTTAATTCAATGTTAATGACTTTTTGATCATATCCCATTTCCATTACAGGAGATATTTCCATTAATTTTGCATCCCGTTGACCAAGTAACATTTCTCTATAGTATTGCTATACTAGAAGAATCCGCTAAAACATATCCTCAATACTACCCTATTTCCAGTCTCAATCATCCATCTTCCCGTCGCTCTTCTGTTACTTCAACACCTCCCCCTGCGCCTAACGCAGAAGACAAACAACGACATGTATCAATTATCGTCCGTGGCTCTCCTATTGTCGACGGACAGTCTATTAAAAATGTAGAGTCACGTTGGAATTGTATGTTAGATTTGAGTAACCTGCGTCGACAAGAGGATTCTCTTCCTCCCAATCTGCCAGGAATAGTAGGATCTCGTTTATCGATGTCGATGATCAATCAAAAGCCATCTGGCTATCAAACACCATCGATTTCCAGACCGGGAACGGGGTCAGTTACTCCCACACCAACCAAGAGTTCGTATGGGGAATACGCTACAGCTTATGGGCGTAATAAGAGAGGGCTGCCAATGATTCCCGATAATGATATCGCTAACTATGGGAGCAACGGCGTCCTCGATGGTGGGAGGACACCGGCAAAGAGGCATGTTGAACATGATGTTGATGGTGTGGTTGTATCTTTTTCAGGTGGGTTAACGAGAAATCGTTTTTGCTGATGATAAGCATTACTAATTATATGGATTCTTGCAATGGCAGTGGATTCAAAAGTTATTATTGGTAAAGTCTTTACCATAACTGTATTTATTGTTAATCGGTCTAAACACGTACGTCGGTTCACTGTCGTAGTGCCCAACAGAAGAAGACCCAGTGAATCGTAAGTATGGATTTTTTCGTGCAAAGACATTCAAGTTACGTACTCACAGAGAAATTACATTATTATGTATTTTGATAAAGAGCAAAGAATCTTCCGCCAATTCCCGTTGGGGTCAAATCGACGACACAGAATAATCAATTGGAACCATATATGGAAGAGACCGGTAAGTTTAGTGTATGCTTATATCGTTCTTATTAGCTAGTCGACAAAAGTAGCATTGCATTCACTTGTGTCTTTATAGAATTTTTGAGGCGACACACTGATTTCGGAACAAACGAGACGGGCATCATATGCTTGGAAAACAACGTGCGAATAGGGTAATTCCTGAATTATATTATTATTCGTTTTTATCTAAGCCTTACAACCTTTTTTAATAACAACGTGGTCTTGACACATTTTAGGCCACTTAGCTCGTCAACATGTGAGACGACTAAGTTGCACTTCATAGCAATCCGTGAGTCTCTACATGTTATTGATCTCATACAGCTTGTGGATAATGACACAGGGTTCATTACTAATCTTAGGAGTGTACTCGAAGTATACGTTGGCAGGGAATAGAAGAGAATAGAATAACATTATTATGTGTTTTATATATAAGTTCATAGAGCAGTATTTGCATCTATAAGTTTATGTATTGTGTAGAATGATACTCTAAAAAGGTTGTTCATCAATGGAATAGGAATTACGTAAACTGATAGGTGCTTTCCTGCTATATCGGATTATCTATTTCCTGGAAATTTCAACCCTTTCTATTGTATTAAGACAGAGAATGCATTAATTATATCTCAAGAAAAATTGTTAGCCATAATGGACGTTAGCGTACTATGGAGCTTACCGATGCTAATATTCCAATAGCAGATTTGGTAGCAAAATCCACGAAAGTGCCAATTTCACTGATTGCTTTCCCTAGCCTCATTACATCAGTTAGTCTGTTGTCCAGGAACTTGAATGTGGCTTCAAAGTTTGGGGACTTGTCCTGTGTCATGTACAACTCTGGGAAATTTCCATTAGAACAACTGTTCAATAATATAAATACAACTTGGATATTGAAACTAGGGAAAGCTATAGCAATAAGGACTAGAGCTGAGATTATTGTTCAAATTATCAAAACATACCTGTTGAGGAATATATTAACGCCAATTCTGTTCTCTTAGAATACCAATTCATCTGTATTATTGTAAATCAAATTGATTGTTTCAGTAAAATGTATTGCAGGGTGTATTGTTGTTTGGAAAGATTTTTGTAGAGTAGATGCATAGATTTGTGACTTGAGTTCTTTTGAGGCCTCAAAAGGGAAGGGAAACCTTTAGTAGGCCTTTTCGATATCGTCAAATCTTAATCAGTTCAATGCATAAGACCACACACATTAAGCCCTTATAAAATAGCCTCTTACAATACTTGTGCCAGCTCTTGATAGCATGTTTCAATGAACAAGCAAGCCAATCATCAATTACAGAAATTGACACAAGCTGGTGGTTATTCTGTGTGTTATATCAATTTTGTCCTTAGGTTTCTTCTCCCCGGTGATAGCGGAACAAACCCTTGATTATATTGGTGTTTACCAATAATTACTATCTCAACTAGAACACTATGGCCAAGACTTTTGATACCTACATCCGCACTCTTGTCACCAGCCAAGTACCAGATATCGTCTACAAGCTGAGCAAGGTGTCCAACAGACATTGACACATTGCTTGGGTGAGCCATTATAGCAAGAGCCTAAAATACATTATTCATAATGTCAAAATATTACCATTAATGTAAACATGATTATTCAATAACCATTAGTACCTCAGGCCATTTCTTTATATAAGGCCTCATCATGTTCAACCGCACAACACAAGCCATTTTGACCTTCTCGTGAGTCTTCAATCTGACAATATATCGTTGCGAATAAGATTCATTCATATCATTTTACCTCGACTGTCAGTACTCTGCTCTTTTACTCACCCATCCATTTTCCCACTCAATTCATCTATCATCTTTCTCCGACAATCTTCCAGGAAATAATCAATCAAGTCTACCCCGCCACGCGAAAACAGTCCATGGGTCACGGACAGGTATCCCTCAGCCACTGCAGCTTTAGATAGTGTTTCTACTGTCCATCCATATACTGGAACAAAAGAAAGTGCTCGTTGAAGAATGCGTGCAGGAACTGGTGTCGGCGGTGTCGGCGGTGTCGGTATGGGTGTTGATTTCAGTTGCGATGAAAAATGTGGAGATGAAGAGTCTGAGCTATGGAAAAGAAATCCGTATTGGCGAGTTGGACTATGGATGTGGGAGAGAGAGAAAAGTAAACAACTGCCAGGCACAGAATGAAACTTTTTTTAACTGTAACGCTGTGGAAGTATCCGACTCTGTCGAATTGGGCGTAGACGTGAGTGAGCGGATATTCTGCAATTGGGAAATCGTGAATGATGGCTTAAACTGGCGCCGAGTCTCGCGAACAAAAAAAGGTTTAATCAATTTTGTGGTAACACTTTTTGATAGAGAGCATGATGTGCTTAACAAACGATGGTGATTCATTGTTGATTTGGGTCGAGAATGTATTAGTATGCGAAAAGTTAAATTTATATGTCATACAAATCACGTGTCAGATTATCGGATGATTCAATGTCACGTTCACAGAAAAGATTTGAAGCCAAATTTTCAAAATTTTCGATATATTTACTTTTTTCCGATGACATGCTGGGATCAATTATTCATACGCTCGTTCGAAGACAAACACACATTCCAATTAACATTGTGAGGCCTGCGCGGCTATTGACTCGTTCTATAAACAATAATTTAAATTTAGCTATCAGTAAAAAGGCGTCTTCGGTCGCGCAAATTAATTTGAAAGCACTTTCAAGCACTATTCTACCCAAAAACGCGCCTTCACCATGGCAATCAACTTCTTCCCTATCTCAATTGTTATCGCGAAGGTTTTACTTGTCTTCTAAACCTTCATTTTTCTTTTCCAATAAATATAATGTGTCAGCCATATCTTTAAAGTCTCCCTCTCCCTTATCAACTACTCGAGCACTTACAGTTCCCACAAAACCAATAGTAGGGTACTGGCTTCTCAGTACAGCAGCATTAGTTTTTGGAATAGTAATACTTGGTGGATTGACCAGACTTACTGAAAGTGGCTTATCAATTGTAGAGTGGAAGCCTGTGACTGGCGTTATGCTTCCTCTAAGTGAAGCTCAATGGCAGGAGGAATTTGAGAAGTATAAACAGTTTCCAGAATACAAATTGTATGTTTTTTTTTTGTTGGTCCCTTTTTTTAAAGGATATAAGCATATTCTAACAAGATAAATTTAAGACTTAACTATGAGATGGATCTATCAGATTTCAAGTACATTTATCTTATGGAATGGGCACATCGTATATGGGGAAGAGTAATTGGGGTAGCATTTCTTATACCCGCTGTGTATTTTGGTGCTCGAGGTTATATGTCTCGGACTGTTATGAAAAAAGTCGTAGGATTGGCTGGACTTTTAGGATTCCAGGTATAAAAAGCACTCTTTTGTGTCCAAGTCATGTGACTTTTCACCTATGAATTAATTCAAATTACAATCTGTTGAAGCCCGAAATTATATCTAGTCCTATTGCAAATTGTAGGCCATTTTTTATAATGAGTTAGTAGTATGAGTAGTGGGTCAGGTCACTTTTACAGTGAAATATATAGCATATCAACATAAGTAATATATTCATTTTAAATAGCTTCTATTGATTTCAAATTCAAATTTACATTTTGAAATTTTAATTTAACTATTACTATTTTCTCTCGAATCACAATTATAAAGGGAGCTCTAGGTTGGTACATGGTGAAGTCCGGTTTATCTGAGGATCTACTGTCGACTCCGGGCGCAGTTCCGCGTGTGAGTCATTATAGATTGGCTGCACATTTGGGTAGTGCTTTCTTATTGTACGGGGGAATGCTTTTGACTGGATTGCAGGTTTTACGAGATGCAAAGGTTACTAATGGCACATATGATCTGGTTAGTCGTCTGCCTGATTTATTGTTTACGATTAGTAAATACGAAACACTCCCCTAAGTGCATCCAGACCTTATTATTCACTATGCATTTAGATAGATAAAATGCACGCGTACGAGGGCTGTATGCACGATATTGATTCCATTTGATATGTGTTTAATATGTTCTTATTATTCAGTCAGTTTCCAAGACTCTTATGAATTCGAATTTAAACGCATTTCGACGGTTTGCTATTGCTACGGCGATATTGGTTTTCGTAACATCGATGTCGGGTGAGTGAACATTAAATCTTTGTAATCGAATGGTTTGCGTTCCCCGACTATAAACCTTATACGAACCTGCATCCAGGCGCTCTTGTGGCTGGATTAGACGCAGGATTAATATACAATGAATTCCCATACATGGGAAAGAACATAATGCCTCCACGCGATGAGCTCCTCTCGCCGGAATACATTCGCAAGGGCGAAAGTCTTCCATGGAGAAACTTCTTTGACAATCCGACAACCGTTCAATTTGATCACCGCGTGCTGGTATGTGAAGAATGTGCTCATCATTATATTTCTTCAATTACTTATTCACATTATCGATTGCATGCAGGCAATGACTACAACGGGCGTAATTTCTGCTTTATGGTTATATTCAAGAAGATTGAATCTACCAATACAAGCGCGCCGCGCTGTGAATGTATTACTTGGGGTAGTAGGGTTGCAAGCAACTCTTGGCATAAGTACTTTGATATATATGGTGCCAATCGAGCTTGCATCGGCTCATCAGGCGGGGAGTCTGACTTTGTTAACGAGTGCTTTGTGGCTCGTACACGCACTTAAGAGAATTCCTGTACGCTGACTATTCCTCTTTTGGGGACATTAAAAAAGTGTTCCCATAAAGAAGGTTACTTTGAGTGCTAGGATGAGTGCTGCTTATTTTATTATAATAAAGTGACAAGTAACTACTTATCGTCGCATTTGAAAGGGGGATGCCCAATTATATTTCGACTACCATGATTTGCCAACCTGTAAAGAAGTCATTCGCTTAGCTATAATCTGTCTTGGGTTGAAATAGCATCAACATAAGACTTACAATTTTCTGCACACATTCTTTAAAGGCACGAAACTCGGTTGAACATACGTTCTTGCTAATTCTATCAACTTGACCAGTTATACATTTTGCATATGCCGTTGCCTTTAACGAGTATCGTTATTTAGAGATGTTTGAATGACTCCACGGTTACCATGACTCGCGATTTGTTATCACCTGAGCCGAGCATTCTGTCAAGCTCTTAGCAAAGATTTTCACAGTCCGTCTCTTTCGAGGAACACTCATATGGGCATACTACATATAATTTAATTTTACCCTGGACATTTTTAATTGTGACTTGCAGATCAACACATGATTACACTAATAATAGCACATGTTGTCATTTGAACATCCACAAATCTTAAACGGACTCTGGGAAGTATGCTTATCTCAAGATAAACGCTGCGTTTTTGATGAATGGGAAGGTTTTTGTGGTTATAAATGCTTTAAATACACCGCATGACTAAATGCGATGTTGGCATCTACAAATAATTCCATAGCTTGTTGCTATCCGATTCCTAATTATATGGGAACTACACTTTCTTCATCACGAATAGTGTGCAAGTTACATAGTCGCCATGACATATCCATAATTCTGCTGCGCGATTCTTTGGATCCAAACGTAGACAGATGGACATATACTTAATATAATATGCATCTTATACAGTGAATAGATAGTGTGCAAGAAATTAGTAACCGTTAATTCACAACTAAACTGTTTGAGCGTGGGCAGCCATTATCTCTTCGTAGGTCTCCAATAAACTGTTACCCTGAAATTTATTTTGCAACCTATGCCTCACGTCCACGTAGACCAACAATGCAATGATACACAAAGCTGCTGTACATTTAACAGAACTGCGCATATTCAATAAATGCTCAGCCCGACAGATTTGGCCAAATATCTTCTTATTCTCTCGACTGCCAAACATGACACCCCCAGTGATAAGCAGTGATGTCGTTCAGATAATACTCTCTCATCTCCCAGTTAGAAACATATATGCTTTACGACGAGTCAACCGGGAATGGTATTCTGTTTTTGAACATGCACTAATGCTTCATCTTCTTGAATGGCAATCTCAAATAATTGTCAAACCTGGTGCGAATGCAACGCCAGCAGATTCCATCGCCCTTACATGCGTAGCCTATGACCCACCATCTGGTGTTTTCACTTTCAAACCAACTATAAAGTCACAATCAATTTCATGCGTTCCAAAGTATTTAAGACAGCTTAAGATTCTATTTCAAGAGTGGGATCAAGAACTAGAATCTTTAACACAAAAAATTCGTAGAAATGAGCCAGGGCGATCGGCTGAAAGCGTCGAGCCTGGCTCTGAGATTGCTCAACATCTGAGTAATTATGCGCTCGCTCTCTTAGTTGAACGCTACGTTGATTCATCAATGAAGGAATACCAGATTTATGAGAAACCTGGAGAAGAGACAATAACTTATCTAGGCGATGAGGATATGATATTGAAGTGCTACACGAGACCAGTAGAGGCAAAGCTGTTAAGCGTAAATCCCGAGAAAACAGTGGCATTAGAGATCGAGTATATGAAAGTCCGTTCTTCCTGGATTGTTTCTGGCACATCCAATCAGAACGCTGCGATTCCTAGATTCCAAATTTATCCTGAAAGATACATTCTATTGAGCGAGTTAACAGCTGAAGCAGGAATATCGGACTATAATCATTACGCTTCTGCGGTCCTTCAATGGGTTACATCCGATCACTCAAAGCTTGACCAGGAGACAACCGATCTCTTACAGCGTTTGAAAGACACAAAGGGTGATTTTACAAAGAGCGAGAAATTAGCGAAAGAATTGGAAGCAAGAGGAATAACGCGAAGATGCATGTGGCAACATGGATTTTCCAGAAGATTCATATCTGGCCTGGATAATTCAATGACTTTTGAGCAAGTGCTCGAAAGAATTGTTAACTCTGAGAAACAGCTGGAGAATCGGGATACTAATCAGAAACCAATGGTGACAGCTAAACCACCAGCCAGGTTTTTCGATTGGAAGTTTGGGAAGTCTTCTTAGTCAATACTATGGCTATAATCATATTACTGGAAAGGAGTATTATAATTGTAGGAAATTTTCTATTAATTATTTCATGTTGATGCGGTAAGCGTTGTCCTACGATAGCTGTTGCGATAGAAGTTTTCTGTTAATTAACTGAATTGATACATTATATTTAATGACAACGGTCCGTATACATACTTCCATATCCTATATAATTGTGTAATTCCTGTCGCTGCCACAAACAAGTTAACCGACAGCAGTGTTGGATTGGGAGGAATAATCTGTGTTGAGTACCTCGACCATATTATGCCAGTAGCGGTCAAGGCTATTCATTATGCAATTATCAGTGAATGTATTGAAAATACCAGTTATTAATCTTATAATAAACTATTCTACATACCAACATTTTGGGGAACCGACAATTTATCGGCCGGTCTCTTTAAATCACTAAGTCCAGCTATCACTAGACTCTATATATTAATGAAGAATTAGGAGGTGCTTCGCTCAACGGGAACACTTGCAACGAACTTACCCATTTTATCATCGGAGCCCAGAAGAACACAGTCTTTGGACCTATTTGGGGCAACAGATAGCTGCTAAATACCAATTCTCTGTGGAATTATGTATATTCATTATCTTACCTGCAGGGTGATTCAACAAATTCTTGAATCTAGTATTGAAGGAGGCTGCCATAGTGTAAAGACCTATCCCGCCGAACTAAATAAAACTCTATCGATCCAGTTTTCATGTGACTTCGTATCATTAGAATGTGGGCTGAGAATAAAGCATGTGTTGATGTAGGCACGTGACCAAACTATCGATTTTTTGGGAGTATGGTAAACCGCCGTTTGAGGTGTGGTCGTCTGTAGCAAAGTGATTGTCAACGGATGGAAGCGACTTTGTCCATTCGCCGATATATAGTGGTAGTCTATGTTGTCAATTGGCGGGGCGTCAGTTTCTGCCATCGAACTTTGGGAAATTCATATCATTCCCAAATTAGGTATTAGTATGTTTAGTCATATAAACAAAGTCACGTTACCGCATTTTTGTCGAGTATAATAATAAAATTATAAAATACTCTTTTGTATGTTAACAATGAGTAAGCCCGAAAAATCCAAAGAACTCCGCAAGCTCTTTGCTTCCACACTGTCTCAACGTAAATCTTCCTCAAAAGACAAGTCAAAAACACCGACATCCACTAAGAAAATCACACATCCTCTAGCGACCTATATAAACAACAAACTCATCTGTACATTATGTGGTATACAGATCAAGAGCGAAACATTATGGAATGCGCATTTGAATGGCTCAGGCCATAAAGAACAATTGAGAAAACTCAGAGAAAAGAGGGGAACACTGGACAACAAGGAAACGGAAGGCGCAGGGGAAACAAAAAAAGGTGACGGTATCCACAAAAGAAAGCTTGATGCAATTGAAGCAGGAATGTCCAAGACAGAACACGTAATTACTGGCAGTGGTGAAGCGAATACGAGTACGAATAGTACTATAAAAAATAGCAATGATGGCAGCAATAATATAGCAGCGACGAATGCCTCTATTGGAAGCTCGACAGCGTACGATGAAGATGACAGAAGCAATTTGTCAAGTGACGAAGATCAACCGCAAGAAAAGCGCGCCCGCCTTGCGTTGTCCGAATCAATGACCCTCGATGCCGATACACCTGCTCAACTCCCATCCGATTTTTTCGATGACACCTCAACCACTGCGCAAGCAGTCTCAGAAATGTCTATAACTTCCGAATCTACATCACAACCGTCGAAAGACGCTGACAATTCACTCCCCGCAGATTTCTTTGATGCTTCTAAAAATGACCCTGCTCCGACTACAGTCGATGAATCAGAGTGGCAACTATTTCAGAAACTTATCACTAAAGAAACAGAAGTATCAAACGAAATAGCTGATGCTGACGAAGAAGAATTACAGCGAGATCGGGATGAAATGCAAGAGAGAGAACATGACATGTGTCTGAGTAGGTTGGAGAAATTGAAGCAGGCTGCCAGGATAGTCAAAGAGAAGCGAGAAGGGCAAATGGTCGTTGAGACGAGTGGTGGAGGTACGGTCGATGGCATGAGTGAAGATGACGATGATGATGACGATGAGGGAGATGATGAAGCCTGGTTGGATTGGAGGGCACAGCGAGTTTAAAATGGACTTTGTAGAGCTAACACAAATAGAGAAATATCGGACATTCCATAACTGTGGCTGTATGAAGGTTTTAATTGGGCATTTTATAATTACACATGTCCGTGACTAATCGTAATGATAATAATAATGAATGTGATACAATTAGCTTGATCTGCTCGTCTCCGGGAAACTTTTGCATGCATTTGTTGGATAAAATTGAAGTCCATCCTAAGTTAGCTGCCTCTGTAGGTTGTGTATGAGAACGGACTCAGTAATAATGGAACATGATAGTGCTGATTCACATCTTCTATTTGAAAGGTTATCTACAGAAGAGGATGTGTAAATAAATCATGCAATGACACATTCAAAGACAATCGATCGATTTGTCTATACCTGAACATAAGGATAAAAGGTCTTTTGTTTCAATTTGTCGAAATATTCTTTCGTATAGAAAGTGGTTCTGAATATGGCCTTTGCGGGTGACCCATCACCGTAGTCAAACAACTTTAATGATTTCTTCCAATCTGGTGGAAGCAGATCTGGATTGATCAGGTTTGGGATTCTGCCGTCATTGTTTGTCTCCCTATAAAGACAATCCCGCAAAATATACTACATCAGTTTGGATAATAGCATTTTCTATTAGCGACACGGTTGATCTAAATACCCTTCCGCAATAAAACTCCAATCCTCGGTTTTACTATTAGTTTCAGGCGGGCTCTTCAACTCCAGTTGAACTCGTACTCCAGACGCAGGAAGACCACGCGAAGAGTCAAGAACATGACAAGTTATTGGAGAGGGCATGGAAGTTTTCTGTTGGATCTGAATATTGGCCGACATTGGGTATTTGTTGCGCCTTTTATTAGTTGTGAACAAAGAGAAACTATTAACTTTTGATCTGCAATTAGTATTTCTTTAAATCGTCATAACTGTTGCACAGAAAAAAGTAACATACGTTATTTGTACAGTACACGAGAATGGTGATAATGTGGTGGAAGAGTAACAGATAGTGAACCTATTAGAATGTGAATAATAAATTATTTCTGGAATTGTAAACTACTAATACACTGGTTTCTGACGAGATCAACTCCTTATTGGCTAACACTAGATACAATGTGACTGCGTTACAAACTTAAATTTTATTCTAATTCTCGATAGTACTTCGTCTGCGCCAATATTAATCTCCAGGATAAAGCGTAATGATTATCTAACTGTTATCGACAATAAGACGCGACTTGACGCATCTCAATTATCGAATAGCGTTGGTTAAGTAGTTGAATGTTTCCACCACCAATAGTTCAAGCACGACACTTATAGCATGTCAATTTAATTAACAACTCATGTCTGATGAAGTATAGATTCGGCAATTCTCATTCTTCGTCCAAGTCAAAGGATAATTTTGCATTCCAGCATGTTAATTATAGCCAGTGGGAGATATTGTATAGTATATTGTATGCATGTTAATCCATGAATAAAATATGATTATACCTATCCACAACGTAACCGAAAAAACACTACAAAGTGCTGTAGTAATAAAACTTGGATGTAAAAGTCTGATGTGGCATGACCTCTAACACAATATAATTTATAAACTCTATTTGGGTTTAATCAACCCAATTAAACCATAATGCCCAGAAACCACATTAACATTAATATGGCTGGTTTTATAAATAGCACTGACCAAGTTGCTTTCAATTTCGGACAAATAGACTAAGTATTGGGAGGTTTCACGTTCGGTTAACATTAATAATAGTCTTGGCAGCGTGAACATACTAATACGGATATTTAGTCATTCTCACGTTATTTAACAGTTGATATTCGCACTGTGAAACGTATTTTCATGTAACGATTTTTCGATATACCTTACGATTTGATGCTATATGTCAATTCTTGACACACTCTTTTGATATATAAAAGGTTTTTGTCTTCACTGTAACAAACAAATCGGGACATAAGGAATTATATAAAAAGTAAGGTATAATTTTTCTTTACAATATTGTAATACTTTAATAATTAAAAGAAATTAGGTTCGTAATAGTAAGGCGAGACATTTTTGAATATCATGTCGATTGTGAGATATTTCTCATATTGAAGCTATCATGAATACCAATTTTACAGTGAAAAATTGCGCGAGTTAATAAAGTTTACTTTGCAAGTTTTCATTCCAAGTTAGGTTACTATATCCCTTTATCCAACCACGTTTGCACGCATGCTGTATACGTTGTTAATATCGCTGACAATTGTAAATATGATGAAATGATCATCGCATCCGATACATGCTCTCATTTGCGAATTATCTATGTTTACTATTAGCAGCCCTCATTGCGACGTTTGCTGGACGCCACCATAGGTTTCCAATATCAACGGCGTGTTTTTTTGCTTGATACACTTATTCATAGTAATCTCACGTATTATTTGTTATTACTACATTAATTGTACGAGATGAAACTAAATTGAAGAATAATATTCGTGTGACTGCGTGTAAGTCTAACAAGAAACCATGCTTTATAATATTTGGCGTAACCCAGCATCAACCTAAACCTAACTACAAATGGAACGTATAAAGTTCAAATACAGCTTATTTGACATAAAGAAATTACAAGAAAGATATATGAGTGATATCAGAGATAGACGTACTCTGTCGTCTGAGAAAGAGGATGGGTTCAGAAAAATCTATCTGAAGGAGAGGAGAGGAGAGGAGAGGAGAGGGAGGGAGAGGGAGGGAGGAGGGGAGCAGAATTAATGGTTTTAATCGAGACAATCGAGACAGCAGCATAAACAGGCACCGATAGCACTACGAAAAAAATAGAGATAAAGGTTAGTATAGGTTTGAGGATGTTCCTGTATTATGAGAATCACAATGATGGATATTCAAATAACACAAGTTTCGACAGAACGTAAAAGCTATTGTTAGTGCATGACCGACTCTATCACTACTTACCAGCCTAGACACAATCCACTACTACTACTCTTCTTTTCTTGCTGAACGACGACAGTTGTTGGTGGAGGAGTCGGTGAATACCCGCCTGAGGGACCATATGGATTATATGCGTTGGGTGGAGGATATTGTCCTGGCTGATATCCTTGTCCTTTGTAATAGTCGTCTTGAGGATAGCCTTGTGGAGGAGGATAAGGATATCCTTTGTTCCGGTCTTCAGAATAGCCTTGTTGAGGATAACCTGACTGGGGAGGGTATCCTGACTGAGGAGGATATCCTGACTGAGGAGGATATCCTGACTGAGGAGGGTATCCTGGCTGGGAATATTGACTGTAGTAATTGTCAGCTTCTCCTTGCCCTCTATCCCGTTCTCTATCCCGTTCTCTATCTCGTTCTGCCATAGTTTTAATTTATTTGAATATAAATTTTGTATTCAACGTAGTAGGTTGGCCTTGTTACGCTTCTATTCCTTAGTTTTCCCTCGGTCTTGTTCTCGAGTCCTCCGTATTTATTTTTGGAAAGTTGGGATGGATTGTTGTTTATAAATAGTTATCGGAAGGATCTCCAAGTGTGCGCAATTGCCAGAATAATACACAAAATTAAATTTTTATTTGGTCAAAGTATGTAACTATACATTAGTAATATAAACTATAGTTAGTGATATATAACATTGATGTCACTGACTAAGTAATACATTACCCGGTTCTATCACCGATTATGAGATTGTATGCATGTGACACCGAAGTCGGAAACATTCCCTGAAACCCAGTAGTCCAATCCCAAATCTTTGTGAAACTTATTTCAAACATTGCAAAAACGGCCCGTTCTTGGCGGAGGCGTTCTCTTGATATTAAATAAAGGAAAGCAGCCACAAAAATACTGATGCCATAAATAAGTCAGGGCTAATTGTTCAACCACAACCGGGAGATCACATATAAAAGTCCTCTGATAAATGAGCAACTGATTAGGTATCTATCTTATACAGCTCGACTTGAAATCTAACCATTTCTGCTCGCATATTTGCAGATAATGAATGATACATCAGCAAATTGACAATCAAGATTGCCTGCTGTCCACTGCTGCTGCTGTTGTTCAGTATTCCTGCTCATCTACTTGGCGAATTTCACTCTGGCAGACTAAATTGTTTGACAAATAGGGCTGTCGTAACGATTGTTTTAGCCTGTGACAATCGGGTTGAACGGTTCAATCGGCCCTTTACTCTTAATTGTACTTACTCAATTCGATAATCAGTATAACTATTGATGGTACTTGATTAAGAGCATATTATTGATCTTTTTGCTATGTTTATCTTCAGCGATATTTACTGCAAGCTCGAACCCAGTTAACTTTATATGCTAATATAATTTGTCAACTTAATAATTTGCTCATATATACGAAATGGATATCAGATATAAACTTTGAATGAAATTCCTCAACGTCTCTGGTTTTAGCAAACAAGGCCCATCAGGCGTAGACTTAATATGTTATGCTGTCACAGCTGTTGAACTTGACATAATTCTTAATATAATCAGCCTTGATGTGCTTCTAGATTGAAATGGACTAACTCTTCGGTTATTGCAACTGCTAAGTTAAGGTTATTCACAATAAGACACCCTGCTACTACTGTGTACTTTAGAAATAGGGAATTTATTATTCTTTTGTATAGCGTCTTCATTCATGTCATCACTCTGCGCTCGCTGTTTGTTCTCCCTGATCAATAAAGTTTAACGTCGGACCTGTTTATATGAAATTATTAACTAATTGTATATTATATGTTGATTGTGTCAGACATGGCGTTTTCAAGTCAAATTGTCAGCTACCCCCTATGGAAGCTACAGTGAAAACAAAAACAAAGGCAACCCAAACCACAGCTCGAAGGACAGCTAATTTAATGAAATGTGGATATGCGGTTGAGCTTGTAATAGAAAACTACCTGCGCGGTGGTCGAGATTTAACTGATTTAATAAAATTGTTAACATCATTTAAATTTTATACTATAATTGCCTATATTAGCCAACTCGATTTTTCTTTATTGATCTGTTGAAACTGGCTTAAACATCTGTATGACTTTATATATGTGCCTTGCTAAAGAATTAGCTTCTACGCAAACGAGACGCATTATTGCGGTTAAAAATTAGAAGTTCTACAGCTGACCGCTTAATTGGGGACTAATATTAATGATGGTGTGTATTCCTTCTAATTTCTGCGTAACTCAGATGGGGTCACAAAAATTTTTAGATCAGTATTGTCCATATTTACTGACATCCACGCGCACGACATCAATAATTGCACAAAATAGTTCACCAATTAGGAAAAAGTGACATCCGCGTGCGCTAACAAAAAGAGCAAAACCGACATCTCGAATAGTTATATAAGAAGCGCAATTTTCTGTTAGATTCGGTGTGTCCTTATGCATTCGATTCCTAATAAACGAGTAATTCTTTATACTCTGGAATACATTGTAAATTACGTGTATTCGATATAATCGTTGTCGAGTCAACAATCACGGGCTCTCCTACTTTTAGTTAAATAAAAAACGATTAGTGACCTTTAACACTAGGCTTTTCTACACATCTCAGTGTCGATGCGTAGACATTAATCCTCGATAATTAATCCGTCCTCGAGTATGCTACCGGTGGGATTAAATTGGTAGTCTACAGGTTGGTGTGGGAATAATCACGGTTAATCGATATAGAGCTTAACGGTTTTATAACTATGCCGACAATTTACCGGAGAACGAATCATTAATAATGTATTTCAGAGTATAAAAAACTACTAGTTTATTAGAAATATTTACAATAATAAAGAAATCGAAAGCAATTTAACACACACGCACACAGAATCTAGCTAAAATTTACACTGCTTATATATTGTCTAAGCTTACTAATTGATCTAATTTTAGCAACGTTTATCTACTGACGTTTATTGGCATGTCGCAATTTCGACTATGACTATCGGGATTCTATGACCACCTGGAAATTAATGACAAATTTTGATGTAAACGTAATATTGATATGAAGCTTTCATTAAAACTACGGTCGTTTAGCTATAACAAATTTTATTAGCACTTGTTTCGATATTTCATATGTTTACTAACAGAATCTTGTATACTTTTGGTAAGGGGTGTATAAGACTCTGTATAATTGTTTTCATTCTTTAACTGATTCCAAGTTGGCTTCTGTTTGATAATCTTTCGATCGATCTCATATTTTATCAATATCACGTGAATGGTAATATTTATTGGAACGTGTTCGTGGCAATTTGGTTACGGATCACGATGGGTAATTCTATCTCGAATTTTACTTCCAATTCGTCGTCTTCTCATGCTTCAGGATGTCCGGCAATCGACAATTTGATTGAGCGGACGGCAAACGGCACTTGTCTTGAATGGATCAATATAACGAACTATACTGGCATAGTGTCAAGTCCGCAAAGCATTAACGGTCAAACCGTCATTCATGTCACATGCGTTGACGAGACAGACATCATGCTGTTATTACTTGGAAACGCCGAAAAATGTACACCAGAATATATAAATGAGCTTGCCAGAATATACTCACTTCTGACAGAACAACGTATTAATGCACTGAAGGCTAGTGTCAGTTATTTCAAAAGATATCGGATTGATATTGACATAACAGGGTTTACCAAGTATTATGATAATTATTATCTGGTAGCTGACGAACGCTTTTATCATAATTATTACCTATATGGCTTCTGCTCAGCATGCGGATTGCTGAGATGTAGTCCCGTGTGGTGCATTTGTGGCCATAAAGAAGTGTTCGATGGATGGACTAGCAATAATAAGAAACTTGATGAGTTTATTAGGAAATCTCAATTACAAACAAAATCAGCAAATGATGCCTATTTGGAATGGATTCCATTCGATTGTATTGACGATTACGGAAATGTCATGACTACATATAATCCCTCCATTCTTTCTCATTTAAAATTGGTTCCGCTCGAGATAACGGATGAAACGGATTATGATAAGGTAAAACTACTAATGTTTGTGAATATTATGTTACTAGTTATTAACTTTTGATTTCCTCCAGTTATGTGATGACCATCCGGATATGCTTAATCCTAATGTCTGGAGCACTATCGGATTTACATTTGATGATGAATCACACGCATATTTTTTAGTTAAAGATATAAATGAAGTTGGACTTTGTCTAGCATGTACAGAACAATTAAAACCTGTGTTAAAGTCATTCTGTTTTTCGTGCAAAACCACGGCTCTTGGTTGGACTACCGGCAACAAGGCATTGGATTCGTTTATAGAAAAATCGTGGCGTGATGCTGTGTTTGATGACGATAACTATCTACGATGGATAGAGTATCCTCGGTTGACGAACGTGCGAGAGACCCCGTCATTACACCATGGATGCACACATACAGCTGATTGTTTAGAACCGGCAAGAAATAAATTAATTAGAGTGATACTGAAGAAGATAGTCGATGGACAGTATGCTCAGTCGTTTGATTTTACAAGGTAAAAGAACTTCTACACGTAAATAATATAGCGATATTATTACATTCAGATGGTGAGGACGTGTTTTAATCTGATTGTATTGTTTAACCAATAGTTGACCAAAGATTACCCGGAGATATTGTCAGGAACTGATAATGTTTGGATCATTGGTATCACTCAAGAGTCATCTACGCGAGACTATTATTTAATATTCCACCATGAGATAGACACGATACTGGATAAACATTTGCATCTGCCGTCTGATGATGATTTACAGATAATTCAGGATATCGACGTTAATGAAATCGAAGAGATTGGATCGGGTGGTTATGCAACAGTCTATACTGCCAAATATAAAAACGCTGAAGAACTTGTTGTTCTCAGGCGCTTTAAAAATTATGAAGAGATGATGGACTTGTTTATTTTCGAGGTAAGCAATCTCTAACCTTATTAATTCAAGTTATGCTGGATCTGAACATTTTATTATTTTTCTTCATAGGTCGTAAATCAAGCCAAATGTTTGGCTCATTTTTCCTCCAGCGGAGATTTTCTAAGACATTATGGAGTTACACGACAACGGGAGACACGCGAATACATGATTATTTCGCAATATGCTAAGCATGGGAATATTTGGTCTTATCTGGATCAAAATTTTAACCAAATGACGTGGAAGATGAAATGTAAGTTTTTGATTGACCTTGCGCTTGGTCTGCATTGGATTCATCGCTGCGGATTGGTACACAGAAATCTCCATGGAGGCAACATAGCCGTGGATGTCAAGTGGCGAGATTCTTCTCTGCCTAGGCCATTTATACTCGATTTTGGTCTAGCTCGATCAGAGAAATACGAGTCAACTTCCATTAAAGGAGTCTTGCCTTTTGTCGCGCCGGAAGTTTTTACTACAGGCAAATTTACCAAGAAATCGGACGTATATGCCTTCGGTATTATTATGTATTTGCTTGCTAGCGGTGAACCGCCTTTCAGAAATAGACAATTTGATAATAGTTTAGTACGCGATGTTTCGAATGGATTACGACCATGGATGCCTTATTCAGTACCAACAGTTTATAAGGGTCTTGCCATGCTGTGTTGCGCTGCCAATCCTGACAAACGTCCAAATATCGATTCTTTTCGCCTAAATCTTCAATGGGATATAATGGATTCTGATGACCCCATTTGGGATACCATCTATCAAAACGACGTAAAACCCTTGTCACGTTTTGAGAAGGAGAGTAAATATTCTAGTAAACTCCTACCTACTAGAGATCGATAATAGGTACAACTCCAGTTCAGCTGCAGGCATAAAGGCAGAACTTATGTATTGATGTTAAGAAAAATAATTGAGGTAATGCTATAAGTAAAAATGGTTATCGTTTGCCCAATTACTTTGTTGACAGGAAAACCCAGTCTCTGTTGCTTTGCTTTTGTCAAATGTTAATCTACAATAGGTTATCTTGGTAAAATAAAGAAACAAGTAAACAAACTTTTTATGATCGAAATGTGCAAGAAAATATCGAACGCGATATAATAATCCCAGTAAATAGACAGCTTCCACGTGTATGCTGTTGGATATACTAATGGACATGAATGTGCTGGAGAAGCCACGGCCAAAAAAAGGGGTAAATATTGAAGGGTATCGGTATTAGTATGGGTTCTCAAAAATAAACAAGGAAACAAGACAATCAGAAATTTTCTAACATGTTTTCTGCTGAAATCAAATTTCTATACAGTAACAAACAATTCGTCGAGCACTTTATAAGAAAAATGGGGTTCTGCGTTCTCGAAAAAAGCCATTCCAGCCAGACGGGTCTATATTTTCAGTTTAAAAATCTGGTTGAAAATGTAGAGAAAGCCAGAAGAGAATTTTATGAAAATGGCATTTAACGTCTTAGTAAATATTCTCCACAAAGGCATATTACGCACGTATGCGAAAAATCGAAAATAATAGAGATTTTTAAAACCGGTTTTTACAATCTATGATAGCTTAATTGAAATTTGTCTTCCTTCACTAAAAGGTGTTGTATCGTTGCCCATTAAGCAATAAAAAAGTCTTTTTGGTATAAAAATTACACGAGAATTTACATATTAACGATTTTATTAAAATTATTAAATTTTGATACATTTGGTACCTTCCTGTATGCTTTGGTAGCTGGCGTGACAGTTCGTGTACACTAAGAAAACTTTACAGATGACGTTTGGTAACAATATAGACAAAGGGAAGGTGCGATAAAATATTAAAAGTATTCGACGGATTCTTTATACATTTTGTAATTCTAAAATTACGTGATATCAATGCTTTGGTGGGCAGAGTTCGGATTACAGTAAAATGTGTGGGATTAGTACTCGCTAAAAATACAAGTTAGAGATACCGACATATACGTAAATTAAGCGTTTGTTTACTCTCGCGTTTTTAATATAAAAGAAGGAAAGAGAAGAGAAAAGAAAGCTAAATCTGAGCGTCAAAACAAAAGCTGTTTAGGTAAATCGATTGATTTGGAGAAGCACGTGACACTAAATTAAAAATAACTGTTTGAACAAGCTAATATCAAAAGAAATATTTTTATTTAGTTCTCGTTTCTGAAAGAAGTATAGTAGTCACTTTACTTCGTCATCTTATTGCATAGTCGTATAGACTTTGAATATTTTCCAAGGCAACTTTGTCGAATACAATAAAAAACATTTATCATTATTATTGAAAATTTAGCTCGTTTCTAAAGTACAACCCATTGTCTCAATATACATACGATAAATAGCTTTGCTCCCCTACTTTAATACAAGTTTTTAATACAAAATATGAACTGTTAAAAAAAATCATAACCATTAAATATTACGTGAGATTGACCTGTCGAAAGTACTTTACTTTTGGACTCGTGCATTATAAGAATTTACAATTTCACACGTGTCGACCGACTTATTGAGTTTGCCTGTATAATTAATTAACTCTTTTAACACAAATACGAGGGCTACGTTTATTTAGACATGATCACTGATTCGGCGTCACGAGATTAATAATCTCCATTGATAATAAACAATAAACACGCATATATACGATCGAGCATACCATTAAAGGGAGAATAATACCGATGTAAGTAAAATCGAACATAATCTACGTTTACCTCGTTTTACGTGCGTATTCCTAGTTGTTTTAGTACCTACGTCAGACAATGTGTCATCCAAGTCATCTGTTGAAGAATATAATAATTGTTACTGTTGAGGGCCTCATAAGCTCTAACATATAGGTAAAGTTTTCCTCAACTGCAGATTTTTTTTAAACACTTTAGCTAACATATTGAGCGCATTCAATTATTAGGGTCTTTATTGTCAGAATTCTCGATTGGGAAAACAGATTTTTAATGCAGTAACATCTCAACGATCTGGAAATGTGTGACCTGGGCAAACAAGTACTTGGCGAAAAAGAATGTGTCAATTACGACTACTCAGATAGAATTATACAGAGAAAAGGAATCGTCTTACTGGTGTTCTGACCATGTTTGACAAGTTAACCAAGAACTCTAGCCACTCCATGAGAAGTAATATTAATATGTACATCAATCTTTTAGTCAGAATTTATAAGCAGATTTGAATAAATAAGTTTTTAGGTCAGAGTATTTGCGGTTCTCTGATCTGGAATATACACAAGAGCTTGCATACCTCCTTGTATAACTTTTCCGTACATGCGTTTCAAACCTTAAATTGATTTTGCAATTACGCAAGAAAAGAGAATTGTAGTGGGAACTTTCCGAAATATTTTCTAGTTGTGTTTCCACAATGTCCGACTTTATAGGTTCATCTGCGCTTAAAATGGTAACCTAGAAACCATACCGCGTGCACACATTCTTTTTAAATGATGTATCAATATTAGGTCATTATTAATTGTGGGTTCACGTAATACGGATTGCTAACATTTTTGAACCCTAAATAATAATGACCATTATTTCCGACATTAAATCGTATTTATTGTCCACGTGATACCACTCGCAAAAAAAAACCAACAAACCACCGAATAAACCTAATTCAAAATTAAAACTAACTTTTTCATATTAAAAATTCGTCAACGAAATTATTTTATACAGACAATAGTCCTAGTTACAGGTAGCCAAAATACATGACAAAACAATAAATTGTACAAATAAATATGTATGCTAACTACATCGATAAACGAAAGAAAGAAAGAAAGAAAGAAAGATTCAAGCTGAGAATATTAAATTAAACCTGATGCCTTGAGGTTCAAACGTTGAATCATATCATTCACTGACGCTACAATAACTCGCATTTGAGTTGTATCCTAAACAGAGTAAAAATATATTAGACAACATAATCAATGGGATGAGGCAACATAATCAATGGGATAAGACAAATATCTAAACAAAAGTGACTTACAGTAGCGTGCGTAAAGTGAACATATACGTTCTTGTCAGCGACTTTATTTCTTGTCAAGAATTCGCGTCGGAAAAATTTTGTTACCGATTGAAAATCGTTGGCACCTGTCAAGAGTACGCAATATATGATATTAGAATGAGTGCTGTTCATCTGATTACGGCATAATATGCATATCACATCCATCGTGCATTACCTTGGTATTCCTTGAAGTACTCTTTCAGTTGCAATTTATTCAGCTTCTTCTTTAGGATGTCAATTTTGTTCAAAAACAGAATTATACTAGTGTTCTTAAACAGCGGGTGATTACAAATGGTATTAAACAACTCGAGCGAGTCCCGCATACGATTGATCCTACGGTCTTCTTCAAGCGCTTGATCAAATGCAGAGACAGCAGCCATGAAGATTATAGCATTAACATCGTCAAAGTAAGGACTATATACATGAGGAACACGAGTTAACAAAAGGAAAGATAAAAGTACAAGCATTCGAATGCAGCAAAAAGACACGAGACACTTACGCCCAGTACTGTCTTTGTGAACGATGACCGCCGACATCGTAAATCTTGTAAGTCGTCGAATTGATATCAAACTTGTGTTCAGTGACACCAAGAGTCCGTATCCTAGCCTGTAGGATGTCTTCGTCAGTTGGTAGATAATCACTTGAGGCCAATCGATCGACATGATCCAAGAAACTGCAAATTGAAAGTTAACAAAGTAATAAATACTCCATTCTAGAGAAAAGATATGACTTGGGTAACAAAACAGTTACTCTTCATTTTCTCCCCCAAACTCGATACTTACTACTTGGCAGAATCTTGTAATCCAATATCGTTACCACTCTCGAAATATTTTTGTATCGCCGAATCACTCCACACGGCCTTGACCGACTTGTGGTTTGTCAATAAGATGGCTGTTACGTCATCCGCAGATTTCAAGTCACCCACGGCCGCCTGTAAAGATAAGGACTGGCGATTTAAACTTTCTTTGACTGAGTTTAAACCCAGAATGGTTAATAAATGTTCTTCATTTTCGGGATTTTCGAGTGTTAAATTGTTCACTTCAAAGCCCTTGGCAAGGGCTTTAATAGCAGTGAGTACGTTAAGGTGGACTATGTATCGATACTGTTCTCGTTCGTTTTCGAGTCCTTTCCCATGGATTATTTTCAGTTGCTTTAGGACAGTGGTTTTACCGCTTTCGGATGAACCTGCATATGGTTTGTTTGATTAACGTTAGTCATTCATATCATCAAAGATCGTATATTAACATTTGCATGCCGATATTGTTCTAACATATTGTAAAATCAAGCAAGCAAAAAAAAAAAAATCGATAGGCAACCTAAAAGAAGCAACTTTGTCCCCCGCGATTTTTCCAGTTCGTCTTTTTCCAGTTTGAGCTGTTTGTCGATGGCCTCGCTAATCTTCCTGGCTTTCTTCTCGGCGGAGATACGCCTCTTTCTCTCCTCGGGCGTCTCGTTGGAAGGAATATGTGCCCGGAGAGGATCACTTACGTCGCTCATTTGCATATGCTGTGCGGACGACATGATATTAAGTTTTTTTTTATTGTTTTGATTAAGGTAAGTAGTGTAGTGTATTATTAAGTTAGTAGTATCGACAGCGAACTCTTACAAATTAGAGTAGTAATAGTTGCGGTAAAATATTAACGGTATGAGTGAAGAGAGAGGAGACGGGGCCGAAATTCTATTCTTAAGTAATATTTAGTCTACTGTAATTGGCTAGCATTTGGTCAAATTAGGGGGGATCGACAACAATAATTATAGTTTGTGATAATGCTTATTAACCTACTTGTTTCGTATCTTTAGTAATGACAATGATTTCGTAAGTAATCGGTTTAATATCGGACAATAATGTGCAACAAAGCCAACGCCACATAATGAAACCTTACCCCAAAATCTTAATGTTTGAGGGGGTTTATAATAATAACACGCATTGCAGAGACAATGGACATAATCTAAACTTAACCGAGGTGGTGGTCGTGGATCATTCAAAGACGTGGGATTAGTCTCACAATGGGCGACTGCTCAGCATGCAGATCACAATACTAGTCGATAGACAGCATTATTGCATACTTGATAGTTACGATCAACGGGTGTTTGCGTTCTGCCAATCTGGTAACTATTTTCAGGTTTTTTCTATAACGTAGAATGCGATCTTTATGAGCAATTGGCTTCCTTTCCTTCCCTTCCCGGAACATTATTTCGTAGATGGCAAGGTGTCTCATTGGACTGATTATGATACGCTAGAATGTAGTTATTCGATAAACATCTCTACCTGAATTGAACTATAGTGGGACTGCATTTCGCTTTCCTTTTTATACTTGAACGCGAAATATGGTGCTGAATGATTTCTAATGTTTAAAATTTACGATATGCTTATTGCTGGTGCACAATTCCTTTTATAGACATGAAATGACATTTCGTGGGTGTTGAGTGAATTCGGACAAGTAATAGTAACAGCTTTTTGTCGATGTCCCGAATATTAAACTCGGGCCGAAATTATAGCTCATGTGTGAGTAAATCTTTTAATTTGATTCAAACCCGTCTTTTCTATGTGATAAGCCCATTACCATAACACTTTGGTTTTAATAAACAACAAACATTGGCTTTCACAATCGGATGCAATGTAGTTGTATTGTTATGTTGTAACCTTTTTTGCTGAATTTGAAATGATAATCAAACTTGGGTTTTGTACTTGAACTTTTTAACTTTATAACAAAAACGATGGATATGAATCGTTGCCAAATTACTAAATGTAGGAACTATCGGAACGAATGAAATTCATTATATATAGCATGTTTATTTTTTAATTGTGTTACAAAAGCTCGCAATGAGCAATATCACGGGCCAATTCTGGGGTCTTGCGTGATAAGAATGTTATTTTTACTTTTACATGTGAAACCATTATTTTGCTAAACTAAATAGATGGTCTTTTGAGTAAATATCAAAATCAAGCTTTCTTCTTCAAATAATATTTTGCGAGTCTAACACGATTATACGACGAGGATTTTGCACATTCCAGACGATATAATTTCCACAGACTGATAAATTGTTACGGTTCGACAATCAATATACCTTCCTAGATAAAATGATTAATAGTAATAACAAAAGAAACATAATCGACAGATAACGATCATTAGTCGCTTACTTCAACTCCTGCCTCCATGTACGAACACATAATAAATAAGCCTTACTATTGCTGGCTGAGCGTATTTCCGCAACAAAATTTGGAGAAACCGAGGGAAATGCCTCATTTGGTCGTTACGTGACAATGTGTTCCATCTGCAAAAAAAAAGTCAAGTTAAAAATAGTGCAAACGCGTAAAATGCAAAACAGGTAAATGAAAAACCTTGTTGCAAGAACAATGGCAGCGTCCAGTCCTCGAACAGTCGGAGCGGGCAAAGGTAAATTATAACATGTCTGCAGTTGAACATATTAGAGTGGCCGTGAAGGGAGAGTTTTATGATAATTCGCAAGTCATACCTGGCTACTCCTGAATATTCCAACGAGTCTAGGATTATTTCGACACCAGTTGGTAACTTTATATATAAGATAAGCTTCTCTTTGATATCATAGTTTTAATACGGAAAAGAAGACATTCCAACTCATGGTATCAAAAATAGCATACCGGTTTAAGCATTATTACAACTTTGCCGTCAGTTAGAGGTGGGAAATATTGTCGCGAGTTCTTCAAAGTCTTCAACACACTATCAAACACGTGTTACTTCAAGTTTATCCTTATCGAGTCTATTTAAATTTGATCGGTAATCAATACTAGTACACATAATATATATGCAGATTAACGTGTAAATTTTGCGTATCATATTTTGAATACATAAACAAGACGTCTGACATAATGCTGAGATAATAGGCTTTGCACGAAATCAAAACCTTGATCCAGAAGAATTAATGGACATGTCGTAAATTTGATTCAATGTTCGACGCCACCAATTAAATTGTTATTCTGTCTATATTAATATATTATTATTATTTGTCTATCATTTGACTGATAACCGGCTGTTACTTCAGTAAGCACCCATAGAAAAAATATAGAAAAGAACGTAATGTTATTCAACAAAAATTTAATTCTTAAATAAATTTACTAATTGGGAATGAACAAAAGATTTGTTGAGAAACAAACTTTAGTGATTTTGATGCCCGAAAATTATAGGTGTTTGTCGAAATTAATTCTTGTCGCTACTACTTCTACCCACAAAACCAAACAAGTATCTGATCCAGTTGCTCTCGTGCAGACTGAGTTAATGCAGACATTTTTCAACCAAAGTTGTTGGTTTTTTTTCCTGATAATAATAATTATTATTATTGACCTTGGTGTTTTCGATTAAAGAAGAATTACAGGGGTAGACGATTAAGTGGCGCTTTACTTCCGATCCCTGAAATCTTTTTATCGCTTTGTCTGGTCTTGTTATGGTCTGCATCACATTAATTGCGAAACGTCATTGCCCCTCGTTGATGCGTTCCCCAAAGCCATTTATGGGCAATAAGCAAACAATTCCTCGTTGATTTTGGGCGTTGTTTGACTTGGTTGACAATAAGAGTTTATAGATACATATGCAGCCCGATCAATAGCCACAATGCTAAATGACGAACAATATAATCCAAGACAATGTATTGACTAATAAGTATTACATGGCAAAAGCGATTAAATTCGGTGGTTGCCTAAAAAAATTCGGCGGTCCCGTGATTCGATCATTGCATAACACAAGCTAAGGTATAAATATTTATCAGATTATTAAGTCACAGTCGACAGGTTCTCGCTTGCGTACAATGTATCATTTACTATCTAACCAAAAGACAAGTCTATGTATTACGGTCTGTCTAAACCTTATACAGTATATTGGTTGTAGAAATTACTGTATCATTTCGATTCAACAAGGAGGAAGCCTTTCGCCTTAATGGGACCGTATTTAGAGGAAAAGCTGTACGGATGATGTAGGACTGCTGGATGACAAGTCCAGTTGTTATTCTATAAGTCATTGTAGTTTCAGTCGTTGTAGTTTCAAACGTAATAACCGGTTTTGAATCTATTAATGTTTTTATCGGATTCTGTTATATCAATTCGTTCACAGTCGTTGTAGTTTCTTTCGATGAAACTCAATGACCATCATGATACTTCCCTACTGAATATTATCATATGGTCAAACCAAAAGAATATGTACATCAATTTTCTCATCAGATTTCGATATCTTCAAACATCAAAGATTAAACAAGGAGGAAGTTTCGCCTTAACGGAGACGAATTGTTGAATTGACGAAAGACATGTGCCAATTTCTTTCGTGTCCATAGTTATCCTCTCCAAGGGACCGTATCCAGAGGGAAAGCTGTACGGATGATGTAGGACTGCTGGATGCCAAGTCCAGTTGTTATTCTATAAGTCATTGTAGTTTCTTTTCGATGACCATTATATTTCTCGCTATAATATACTCGTAGTTGTTGTATCTATTCCAGCCAATACGAAGTCCATTCTTGAAAGAGATACCATACTCTTAAGACATGACAAGCGAGCAAGATCTCTCCGTCAACAATATGATGCGTGCTTTCGCTTCTTATTCTTGTAAGATTTTATTAGAGAAATGCTGTTCGCAAGTAGATATTATGTACAAAATAGTTGATCATGTTTGATGGGCGTGCGGTCGAACGACGACCTGCTGTTCTGTATTTTCGCCGTGAATGCCGTTTCTGCCTCAAAGGAGGCCCGGGTTGTTGCTTCCTTCCACAAAATTTGTTTTAGAATACGAGTGTAAACTTGTAAAGGAGATTGCTTGTTCAAAGCTTGCGTTGATGGTCGGAAGACATTTGGAAGATAACAGAGCCTTCTTCCTATAAGCACTATAATATGCCTCAGCAGGAATGCCATAGAAGACGTCTATGTTTTGCGCCAACGAACACAACGAGCAGCACAACAAAAGGGACCGTATAAGGAAACTGTTACACGATCCATTCAAGTCGATCTGCTTTGACAATCAGAACTATACAAATGTAATCGAGTTTCATAAAGTCCGTCATTAAAAGAAGGGAGTAACAACAGTGCGTGTAAAAGTTTCGGAATAGAATGCAGAAACACTATTTCCTTCCGAAATACGCGTCTAGTAAAAAAAGTCATCCGACACAGTCGACAAAAAACTCGGTTCCATAATTTTGTAACTCGTTCAATTTGTTTTATTTGTTTACGCTTTTCAATGACATGCTTACGATTGACCAACGTCGCAAGATCATAACCACTTTGTGGGCAAAAATGCCTACAATTTACATAATTAAACTTCTACAATATGGTGGAAAGAGCACTTGTGTCAATTGGATTCACAGCATACCGTCAAGATTGAGTAAATAGTGGACGAATTAGTAAAACGATGTGTTGTATTATGAAGAGCGTATCCATTTCTCGTTGCACGGTCAATAAAAACGCTTATTCCGAAAACTTATTTCGCGCACTGTAGAATACACTCCAATAATGTCAGTAACAAAGGCCGATGTCAAAACCAGAATAAGAGTAATGGTCATCATTGAATGATATAAATGTTAAACGTCGAGAGCCCACATACGTGAACGCCGTTGAAGTCAAGTCATCCAACTTTCACGAAAATTATCGAGTAATCATAAGAGACAATTTTCTGTCCGCTAGTATAACTGACACACATCACGGAGGAATACATCATCGTTTAGGCTTGAAAAACTTTACATTTAAAAGCCGTCGTATCTTGTTACGACAACGATTATTCTACTGCGGAATCGAAGGGGAATAAACTTCTATTTAATAATTAAACAGGGCTATCTTCGATTTGGTATTTTAACTAGTCGGGTTCTATCACTTGTCTCAATAAATAATTAATAACTCTCGTTCCTCAATTAAGATAAATTATACAGCTTAAATGGGCCGTTTTTATAGCTTGAAGGAGCCGCTTATCAGTATCCGGTTAAATAATTAACGTTAATATTTTAACGATGAAAGAAAGTAAAAATTTCGATTTCAAATGGAACCGTTAACATGAGAATTTGACGATGGGATAATAATAAGGGCCGCTTATATAATTAGCGATGCCCAAAATGCGAAACAGAAGATATCATCGTAAAACCTTCTAAAGAACCAATAAATTCTAAGTTAACTAGTGGGCGCAAGTACTGATGCTGATATGCGAAAAACGCGGTATACTAAATTAAATGTCGATCATGGGCTGCGGAGGAAGATTTTACCATGTGACTTACTTATCTGCCGTCGTTTCTTGATTTGCGCTTTTTTTGAAGTATCACCATAGGAAAACCCTTTTCTATAATTTTTAACCTTGTAGGAATGAGGGAAAGGATTACATTGGGCATTGTGGAAAAGCACGTAAGAGAAAATGCATACAAAAGCGAATGAGACAGGTGAATACTGATTTATAATAGTTCGATCGAAAACTTGATGTTTGGCGAAATGATTCACCTGTAGATTATGCAGCGCGTGATAAAGAGTTTTAAATGAAGCCTATCCATATCCATGGCATCAAAGAAGGGACCTTTCTCGTAAGCCTTTATTTAAGACAACACCCATAGTAATAGTTTCATCACTGTTTAACGTAATCGCCATTATTATATACGCTAAAAGAGCAGAATCAATTTAGTTAGATACTTTCCTGTTGAAGTTACTGCTCGTATGATGTCTACAAACGTAATATACGCTTTTGCATTCTGGGAAAATTTTCTCGTGATGACGTAATGTATGTCAAGTTAGGATGACATATGTTTACCGGATAATTATCTGATGACGTAGAGTAACGTCATCGGGTGCAAATTAGATATAAGAAGCGCCAGAAATCATTTGGTATAGTCGATAATGGCCGGATTCCTTCCAGCACGTTCAATAAACGATAAACTGCGCAAGATAACCGTAGGCATATGGTTACAGCAGCAGCAGCGACAGGAGGCGCGAAAGCCGCTAGTGGTTTGTCGTTTAAGTAGCAAGATCTCGGACGTACTTCGCTTATGCGATGAACATGATATCGTGTCACTTCCTGTGTTTCACGAAGAACTTAACAAGTTTGTCGCCATAGTTAATCTATTTCATGTGATGAAATATCTGATGCTAAAGCAAGTTTATGCCGATTTGAGCAGTCAAGATAATCCAGAATATGATAAAAAAGCGAGAAGCAATGTTATCAATACATTCAAAGATACCGTTAGTGATATTATCGATTCATGGGGAGCATATGCATTCACTGTGCATCTTACCAATGATCCATTGCTGGGAGCAATACAAGAGCTTATATTGAAACCCAACACGTATGCGATTCTAGCAGACGCGTCTCACCCCGGAGAGAAGGCTGGGAGCGATGTGCAGCGGGCTTCTATCCTTACACAACATGATGTTATCACTTACCTTCTTAATCATCCCGAATTGAATGAAAACATACAGGATGTACCTGCCAAGAACGTAATGCAGAAGTCATGGAAGACATTCACGAAAAAGGATGATCCCAACCAGCCACTGTATAGACCAGTTTCACATGCCCGAACATCGTTTGTGCTCAGTATTTCTCATCTTGTGAGTGCTATCACAGGCTTCAAGTGCATGGTAGGTAAAACGATGCAAGTACGTTGAAGTATTACGCGCGCACATGATTTACGCTCTGCCCGCGTCTTTTGCGCTACAGGCTATACACGGTGTCAGCTCCATGGCTGTTGTTGAGAAACAGGAAGACAATATCAAATTATTGGACAATCTATCTGCATCAGATATTCGACATTTAAATGAAGATACTGTGGTTGATGCCCTTCTTCCCGTACTGGATTATCTTAAAAAGGTGCGTAAAACCGAGCGCAGACCCGTCGTTTGCTATGAAGAGACCCCATTAGCGGAAGTGATGGAGTTAGCGGTGAAGAATTCTGTGCATAGAGTGTGGGTGATCGAAGAAGCGAGCGAAAGGCCCGTTGGGGAGATATCAATGACGGATATGTTGGCTATGTATGCTGGTGTCAATAGGGAATAGTTTTTTCAATCCTTTTTTTTTGTGTTTTTTTTTTTTTTCGAAATTAGTCTTATTATGCGTAAAATAGACACAGAAATAAAATGGGAAATACGTGTGTTTTAGTTTTAGTTATACAAAAAAAATTAGTTATTAATATTGCACCCTGCTGACCATGTGATCACCGTATAGCACCTTTACCATGGGTCGTCAAACATTGTTGTTACTTTATTGATTATAAAAGCACAATCTGTGGCAATATTCATGTGACCAACGTTTAAATTTTCCCACACGGTCTGTACAAAGGAACTCTTTCTGCCATCGCTGCGGACATCCACAAGGAACTGGCTGCTTGCTTGTCTTGAGGAAAGTTCTCTCTGATTGTTTGAGTAAGCTCTACGTATGTAAAGCGAAATAAGTTCGCCATTGTTGTACCTACCAGATACCTTTGCGTTTATGGGTGAATGCATTAGCGCTGGTCTACGTTCACGCTATCCCCATGGCATTTGCGTTTTTTGGGGGAATTGTCTTTGTGCAGCGTGTTCTTGGACTTTTATCGAGGAATGTGAAAATTTTTGCCGGCTACCATTGACACTAACAAAACTTAATACGTATTAGCTGACTGTTTTGATTAGACGCGTATTTTGAAACCTATGCATTTTATTCCAAAAACTTTTTCGCGCATCGGAACCGTTTTCGTAGACAATAGCTTCATTCAATGCAAGTACAGGTTTCATATGAGAGTGCATGTTTCATGCGCGTTTTCGGTTCCGCCATTCAAATACCGACAACCATAAACATATTTAAAGACATTACCCCCAAATTCTTTAACCATTGCAATATTGCAATATTTTAAAATCAAAATCGTAAACGCATAAACTCTCTCCTCAATGCTAACACCACCACCACCAAAAAAGGTTTCAAGCAAAAGGAGGTCTCAGCTCTCCAACCTACGAACAGCTCGTCAGCTCCCCAACCTACAAACTTAAGACCTTATTGGAACGGAAAAGTCGCGGCATGGTCTCAGAAATTGTGGTTACCCATTGTGCCCGCGACCTCATCCACTGCTACAAAACTCATGGTTTTCGAGCACGAACTTTTCCAAGATATTCTTACAATCAAGCAAGATTTAAGCTTTACACGTAGGAAAAGACGTTAATGAACATGAGGACAAGAGACTTCAAAAATCATGCGTATGAGGTGAACGCAAATTCGTGCGAACTGTTGTGCGTACTGGAATGCTGCTTCAAGGTACACTAGGTATGATTGTTATTTTTCGATTTTTTGTTTTGTTTTGTTTTGATTTATTTATTTATTTATTTTTGATTTTATTTAACTAATTTTAGGGACAAGATAATTAACCAAAGTATGAGAATCAGCAAAGTTCGTCTTTGTCATTTCGATTTCGAAAAGATTTTTTTACAGCAGGATACAAAAGTATTCCACCGCTTCTAATTCGGGACACGAATGAGTAAACGCTTTGAAAATTTCGCTGTACATAGTGTATAATAAACCCTGATCACTTGTAAAATTTCAGCTTGATCGGATGTCTCCAGCAAAATTTCTAAACACCAA